TACCCTCTACACTGCCTCCAGTACCCTCTACACTGCCTCCAGTACCCTCTACACTGCCTCCAGTACCCTCTACACTGCCTCCAGTACCCTCTACACTGCCTCCAGTACCCTCTACACTGCCTCCAGTACCCTCTACACTGCCTCCAGTACCCTCTACACTGCCTCCAGTACCCTCTACACTGCCTCCAGTACCCTCTACACTGCCTCCAGTACCCTCTACACTGCTTCCAGTACCCTCTACACTGCCTCCAGTACCCTCTACACTGCCTCCAGTACCCTCTACACTGCCTCCAGTACCCTCTACACTGCCTCCAGTACCCTCTACACTGCCTCCAGTACCCTCTACACTGCCTCCAGTACCCTCTACACTGCCTCCAGTACCCTCTACACTGCCTCCAGTACCCTCTACACTGCCTCCAGTACCCTCTACACTGCCTCCAGTACCCTCTACACTGCCTCCAGTACCCTCTACACTGCCTCCAGTACCCTCTACACTGCCTCCAGTACCCTCTACACTGCCTCCAGTACCCTCTACACTGCCTCCAGTACCCTCTACACTGCCTCCAGTACCCTCTACACTGCCTCCAGTACCCTCTACACTGCCTCCAGTACCCTCTACACTGCCTCCAGTACCCTCTACACTGCCTCCAGTACCCTCTACACTGCCTCCAGTACCCTCTACACTGCCTCCAGTACCCTCTACACTGCCTCCAGTACCCTCTACACTGCCTCCAGTACCCTCTACACTGCCTCCAGTACCCTCTACACTGCCTCCAGTACCCTCTACACTGCCTCCAGTACCCTCTACACTGCCTCCAGTACCCTCTACACTGCCTCCAGTACCCTCTACACTGCCTCCAGTACCCTCTACACTGCCTCCAGTACCCTCTACACTGCCTCCAGTACCCTCTACACTGCCTCCAGTACCCTCTACACTGCCTCCAGTACCCTCTACACTGCCTCCAGTACCCTCTACACTGCCTCCAGTACCCTCTACACTGCCTCCAGTACCCTCTACACTGCCTCCAGTACCCTCTACACTGCCTCCAGTACCCTCTACACTGCCTCCAGTACCCTCTACACTGCCTCCAGTACCCTCTACACTGCCTCCAGTACCCTCTACACTGCCTCCAGTACCCTCTACACTGCCTCCAGTACCCTCTACACTGCCTCCAGTACCCTCTACACTGCCTCCAGTACCCTCTACACTGCCTCCAGTACCCTCTATACAATTATTTAGTACATGTAGTGTTCATGTAGAGTGCTGATCAACAATTTATAGGACACATCTCTACTAGCAAGATTTCACACCCTATTATATATTTTATACATGCCAGTCAAAAATCCAACTGATATTCTTTAATTTCTATTGGCTTTGAACGAAATTTCGGGCACAAACACTTCTACTGTACATTCAGCGAGTGGGTGCACAGGGGAATCTTGCCCTCGCAGTTCACAGTGCTCAATGCACTAGGCAGAGCGTACTCACAAAGCTTGTTGTCTTCTGATGATTGCTCAGCGTGATGTACTTGAGTAGAGACAAAGCCAGAGGAATCCTGGCTGCTATTCCTGACTGGATTGTTGTGTGTGTGTGTGCATGTGTGCGTGCGCGTGTGTGTGTGTGCATGTGTGCTTGCGCGTGTGCATGTGTGTGTGTGTGTGTGTGTGCGTGTGTGTGTGTGTGTGCGTGTGTGTGTGTGTGGTGTGCAGGAGCAAGTAGATGAAGAGTGCAAGCATATCAAGGCCTACTTCACTGAAGGTCCTGGAAAGCTGTCCGGTCTGACTGCCTGCTTTCTGATGCTTACTGAGGCCTGGTGAGGTTCTGCTTTATCTGCACTGCCTTGTCTACTGCAATACTGTATGGGTAGGACACTTAGCCTGACACTTTGCTGAGTGTGTGTGTCTGTGTCTGTGTGTCTGTGTGTTGTGAGGCGATGGGCTTTGGTTCTGTGGAGTGTGCTGAAGAGCCCGACTACAGTGTAGCACGCTAAGCAGTTGCTTCGTGTCCGCAGACACCGTACACTACAGGGTTCTAGCCAAGGGGGGGCGGGGGGCAGCGCCGCCCCCCCCCCCCCCCCCCCCCACTCTGTTTTGTGTGCCCCCTGTGAAAACGTGCCTCCCCCTACTCATTTTCCATTTTTTGTGTCTTTTCATGCCATTCAACGAAAATGCAGTCGATAGTCAGTACTCGTACTACAATTTGTCTGGGGTGAAGTCAGGTGTTCGCCCCGTATGTTGCATTTCGCATTGCAAGACAGATATTTTGAAAATGGAAAAATGGGTTACGGCCCTTACTGGGTAACTGTTTTCCCTCCCCCTACTATTTTGACCTGGCTCACGGGTGTTTGCAGTGCATGAACTCTGGCCAGTCGTCCCCGTACGCAAACTGTGTACACATTCGGATCTACCGTACATTTCCTCGTGTTTTGGGCGAATCTGAGCGGTACGACGCTGTCGAATTGGGCCTGAATTTGCCCTGAACCAGCCGCTATTGAAGTAAAATTAGGTGTTTTGAAGGCCACACGGGAACACTGCGGCCATGTCTTCTTTCCTGCGTCGTTTGTTTTGAAAACCGGAGTGTTTTTGAGCTCGTAGTTTCGTCTTCGTTGTGGAATGGCCGTGCGTACATTCTCCTTGGAATTACCTAAGTCACACCCCCGTTTATTACATTACTAGGAGTTTTGCCGGTGTCACATAGTACTATTCCCCCCCCCCCCCCCCCAGCGCTTGGCCCCCGGGGGAAAAGTACTATGCACCGGAGTATAGTGATTGGACCCCCGGGGAACTTTACTGTGCAGTGTTTGTACCCCCGGGAACTTTACTATGCAGCAGAATGCCCCCCCCCCCCCCCCCACACACACATCACTGAACCAGGTACATGTAGAGAACAAGACCACATGTACAGTACACGCCTGGGAAATTTGAAACTTAGCTCAATACGGTTTCGCCAAAAACTGCTTTATTTCTCGCCCACAAGAGCTTCCCTGGCGATAGTCTTGATCCGAGGCAATGTTTCGGTGTATGTGGGCATTGACTGCCCTCAGTTTCGAGAAAAGCTCAAAGCGATAATCCTTTCCTTCGCTTTCTTGCCAGAGTTCTCAAGACCAACACAACAGTGTTGAATTGTGTTACACAATTCGTCGTCAGAAAGTACTCAGCGTAGATTTCGTGCCGAATTCCACCCCAAACAATTTACGCTGACCTCTAGCTCTCGCCACCAATTGAACCCACTGATATATACATCTGCACGAGCAATGGTTCGAGTCAAAAGAAGGACAACTTCGCGATGAGCATACTTTCTGAGGGTAATATTCTACATGTACATGACTGTATATTTTATACCTATGGACATGAAACTAATACCAGTAATAGTTCCAACGAATGATGTGTGGTGCTCTTGGACGTGTGTACATGTATAATTTTTGGTGGTGACAGTCAATTTTTTCTTTAGACTTTTCCCCTTTCCATTCCCTCAACTTATGAGTAGGGGTACATGTATACTCGTAATTATAACACCATCGAGATGACAAATTGACCAGCAGGAAGACATGGAATTGCTTCCTTTATGTACAAGTGTATTCTCATACTATTTGGGATGCTTTACTGTTTTCCGTGGCACGAAAACAGTAAAGCATCCCAAATAGTATGAGCATGCATTTGTACATAAAGGAAGCCTTTGTTGCCTGTAAACACTGGCTGCGGACATGAACATTATCCTGCCGAGCAGAGCATTAGTACAAACACAGACACACATACACGCATGCACACACACACATACATGTACAAACATGCGCACACACACGCACACACGCACACACACACACACACACACACACACACACACACACACACACACACCTCAGACCTGCCCATCGCGGAAGCGATGATAGCGAACAGCTATGGTAGACATAGCAACTTGTGCTGGGATTACACCATTCCACAGCACACACACACACACACACACACACACACACACACACACACACACACACACACACACACACACATACACACGCGCGCGCGGCAGCTTGCCACAAGAGAATCATGCTAGTAATGCACTTCAACAGGCCATTAGGCTTATTTAGCACATGCACCGGTTTTGGCAGACAGTGACAAAGAGAGGGAAAGAGGGAGAGAGAGAGAGAGAGAGAGAGAGAGAGAGAGAGAGAGAGAGAGAGAGAGAGAGAGAGAGAGAGAGAGAGAGAGAGAGAGAGAGAGAGAGAGTGAGTGAGTGAGTGAGTGTGTGAGTGTGTGAGTGTGTGAGTGTGTGAGTGTGTGAGTGTGTGAGTGTGTGAGTGTGTGAGTGTGTGAGTGAGTGAGTGAGTGAGTGAGTGAGTGAGTGAGTGAGTGAGTGAGTGAGTGAGTGAGAGAGAGAGAGAAGAAGAGAGAGAGAAGAAGAGAGAGAGAAGAAGAGAGAGAGAAGAAGAGAGAGAGAGAGAGAGAGAGAGAGAGTGAGTGAGTGAGTGAGTGAGTGAGTGAGTGAGTGAGTGAGAGAGAGAGAAGAAGAGAGAGAGAAGAAGAGAGAGAGAAGAAGAGAGAGAGAGAGAGAGAGAGAGAGAGAGAGAGAAGAAGAGAGAGAGAGAGAGAGGCTCAGAGAGACACAGAGAGACACAGAGAGAGAGAGACTGAGACACAGGGAGACAGAGGGAGACAGACACACACACACCACACACACACACACACACACACACACACACACACACACACACACACACACACACACACACACACACACACACACCTGTCCTGTATCCTGTCCTGTAGAGTCACTGCCGCAAAAGGGTCACGTGATCCCATCACTGGGAAACTTGAGAAGAGAGAGAGAGAGGACACGACGCTCGATGACGCTCCAGGTGCACGGGTAGTCGCATCCGCTTGCCGCATATGCACACGTGCTGGAAGGCTGAGCGCTCCTCTGCTGTTGGTCTATGCGCCACCCTTGAACAGCGATGCCTTCCCCGTCCCCGGACACCGCGAAAGCAGCGACCACACCTGTCACAATGCGCGGCACAACATCCCTCCGCCGGTGCCGACGCTCCGGTAGTTCCAGGTGGCACTGCGGCATCCACCGTTGAGGCACACACATGCCGGACCAAGCCACCGCGGCTTCTCAGCCACCGCCCACACCGCCCGCACTGACTGGCGCCCCGCTGCTCAGACACAGGCCGCGCACGCTCCTCCAGACACTTACGCCGAGCCATGTCTCCTTTCCGTGCAAAATCCCGTCCGCATACCGTACATACCACTCAGGGCGGAGGCTCAGGCACATTGTCAGGCTCTTGGTAGGTGCTGCGCCACTCCGCGCGAGACTCACATGCAACATCATACCATGATGCCTCCATGCCACGGGCACGTAGATCTCGGACAGCACAGTCCTTCCATCTGCGGCGTGGGCCATGTGCTGGGCGACGCTGCAAGAAGGAGCCAAACAGTACCTGCTTTGGGATGCGGTTGTCCGGCATCCGCGCCACATGCCCCAACCACTCCAACCGCCGATGTGCAATTTTGTCTTTAATCGTCTCGGAGTCTCCCCAGCGCACCAGCAGCTCTTCGTTGGTGATGTGTTCGTCCCACATCCGGCTTCGAGAGACCCCGAGGATGGATCGGATGCACCTCATGCTGAAGGTTGAGAGCTTCTGCAGGTCATGCTGAAGGGGCGTCCAGCACTCAGAGCCATACAACAGCAGGGACAGAACGCAAGCATTGAATACGCACCGCTTGGTGTGCATCAGCAGATGTGGATTCGAGAATACAGACCTCCGAAGAGCACCGCAGGCCCTGGAGGCTTGGGCAATCCTTGCGGCGATGTCCCGGGACGAACGGCAACCGCTGTCCACACACACACACATACACACACACACACACACACACACACACACACACACACACACACACACACAGAGACTGAGACACACAATGGGACCAGAGCAAGAAAAGGCATCAGCTGAGGAAACCAAGAAATTGTAAAGTTCATGCAGTGCATGGTTATGTTCTTTCAGGGTAAACAGGGCCAAAAAGGGAAGTGCAGAGCTGGGAGAAGTGCAAGTTGGGAAAACCAAAAGCAGGAACAGGTTCACATAATGACAGCAAGTGATGCTCAGCATCTGGCTACTAAAGTACTGGTAAGCATCACTTGATTGGTGACTCTTCCAAAGCACACCAGACGAGTTGACTAAGTAGATGGCAAAATTGCTACAACCTTAGCAGTAGGAGTACTTTCTTGGGTGGATACCTGTGCCACTAGAGTCTGGCACCAACCTGGTATCTTACAACTACATGTACTGGAAGGTTAAGCCAGTCAGCCACGGCCGAAATCTCATCAGTGGTACCCCACACTCCCGGGTGGTGCATCATTGTTGCTATAAGATACTCTGCTGCTGGATTGGGATTATCCCCAAAGTCAATCAGATAATGGAAGCTAGCTGAAGCGCTTTCGTGCTTGGGAGCATGTTTCAAAAACCTCTTCTTGGCTTCTTTGTGAGGGTGATAGATATCTGACTGGGCACTAGCGGCAGAGTGAAGCTCAACAGGTGAACGCATCAGCTGAACGCATACAATAAAGTAGGGAGACAGCTTTATGGACGATTGCCTGTTGCTGCTGTGATACTATTCCACTCCTTCTGGGATTCTATCACCATCTGTCGAAGTGGGCGAAGAAGGGTTCGGGTGAATCGCTCCGTGAGACCATTTGACAGTGGATAATAAGCACTGCAGATTTTTGTTCTACCTCCATGTCCTTGCACAGCAGCTCGTTCCCGTTGCTCACAAACTCTCGGCCTTGCTCACTGATAATGGTGTCGCGACAGCCAAACCTCGAAACAACGCACTGAATGAGTGCATTGCAGACACGGTTGATGTACACTTATCTGGGATTGTCTTGGTTTCGGCTCACCAGCACAGATACTTGGTGAACACCACGATGTACTGTTGGCTATCTGGTGTCAACTTCATTATGCCAGCAAGATCCATACCCCAGGTTTCGCATGTACATGTAGAAACCTTCTCCACAGCACAGCATCATACATTTCTTTCCACCAGTAACGCTCCAAGATCTTATTGAAAGTGGCAGCCTCCTCCTAGATTATAACCACGAGCAGCACGCACAATACGGTCTTTGTCTCGTTCCTTTGGGACCTCTCGCATTGAGTTTGGACGCCGCTTCGTTGGTGAGTGAAACAGCACCCCATCCTGAACTAAGGCAGTGTCAAACTTCTTCCTGAAGTTCTGCTTCAAGTAAGTTTTTGCTTCTACGTTCTACCTTGTCGCCATAGCGGCAATGGATCTGGGGTAGGCGCCAGTATTTTTGTGATGGCCTATTGCCTCATACGTTTCTAGATCCATGGCAGAATTACAATGCAGAGAAGGAAGGAACGAGCTGAAAGTAAACGTCACTCGAACTAAAATGATCTGAAAACGAAAGCCACAAAGGACAATGAAATCTGGAAGGAACTTCACTTGAAAAATTCGAATGCACGTGTGAATGAGTAGTAAAGTACCGGTAGTTTACTACTCCCTCCCACAGATAGCTCGGCCCTGAGCCTTCTCTTTGACTGGCGAGGGGGACATCCACTACATAGCCATTTTCCCGGGGGGGGGGGGAAGTGCGACGTAGTACTCTTCCCGGGGAGTCAACCTGCTATATAGTACTCTTCCCCAGGGGGTCAATGTACTATAATATAGCAGATCAGATTGCCCGGGCCCGGGGGACAAATTCTGGGGGGTGACTATACTATGTTACACCGGCAGCCACGATAGTTTTTATTAGAGCTGAAACGATTATACCGAATAATCGAGTTCTCGTTTGATAACTCTAACGATCGAGCAATCGTTTAGATTACCGATTACGATTATTTTGCGTTTTTTAAATTTGTGTCCAGAAAGTACGGTAAACCCTCGTTTTGTGAAGTTTGAATCAGTTTCCGCTGGGAGTATGCAGTTGCCAGGGGTATGGTTCATGTTCTGAGGTTAAATTGACTTCGAAACTGCCATGTTTCGGAGCTACCCTTTCACTAATGCAGATTTGTTGGTATTATGAAGGCATAGTTTGTGGAAACAGAGTAACGTTTGCACAGAATTATGACTCTATTTGCTAACGATTATAATCAATTACTCGATCGTTAAGCTAAAGAGTAATCGATACGTGAAAATCCATGATCGTTTCAGCCCTAGTTTTTATCCCTGCTTCCATACGTCCTTTCATTGAACAGCCAAACGAAACTTTGTGGCGCGGGGTCTCAAGTTTGTCACTTCGAGTTGTACACAGCAACCACATCAACACGTCAAAGGACCAAAAAACCAAGTGAGCAAAGTATTTCAACGTTGCGATTTCACCTGGCCTGCTGTGAAGATGGAGACCTCTACTCGGTAGCAGATACTCGTATCAATAAGCTGGGAGGGAGAGCGTGGCGAGGCGAGGAAAATGTTGGGATGAAAAGAGCCACATTCTCTCTCGGAAAAGGTCATCGTTCCAACACACTGTGACTTGCTCTACCCAGATCTGCAGAAGGCTAGATTTTGCATGCACGTGCGAGATTCGCCGCGCACGTAGGCAGAGTCAAAAATTGTGTTCTCTCGGATTTGCCGCCATCTTGACAAGTGGCCACTGCGAAACACCCGTGGGCTAGAACCAGGGAGTAGTAAAATACTGTATTTTACTACTCCCTGGCTAGAACCCTGCAGTGGCGCTGTTGACGTCTTCTTTTGGAGCTAATTTTTATTTGCATGCATAGCTCTGAACGTAAATTTGAAAAAAGCGTGCACGTATTTGTGCAGTGAGTGACGTGCGTGCACACAAGCACACTGTGAATGAACACAGTTTGGCCGGTGAGCTTGAGAGACTTTGGCCGATTGTGAAATAAGTATAACATTTGGCCGTTATCTGAAATTTGCCCGCTTGGGCTTTTCTAAGAAGAAATCGATAGGTAGCCCTTGTTGTCCTATGCCTATGCAGGTAACACTAATTTGCATTGTGCCTGCATCTGCGCCAAAGTTTGGCTGGTTGGCAACAAGCAGCGAAATCAGTGAAAGTCTGCTGAGAGTACAAGTACTTCACTGCTGTTGTTTGCTGAGAGTACGTAAACGTCCTGTTGTTTTTCTGCTCTTCTCTGTGCCAGGACATCGGGCAATCAGGTGATGGAAGGGTATCACCACTGCTTTGGCCATATGGTAAACCGCCTTATGTCCTCTTGGTGGCGCTGGTGGTGCTGCTGCTGCTGCTGCTGGTGGTGGTGCTGCTGCTGCTGCTGCTGCTGCTGCTGGTGCTGCTACTGATTGATGATGTAGCAGTTGTATTTCCGGTATGCACATGTATTACACAGTTCAGCAGAGTAATGCAGGCCAGTACCAGCCTTATAATACTCTATGTGTTGGACATACAGTAAAACCTGTGACTAACGAAGACCCCTTGGGGCCAGAGAAAGCGGTCTTTAGTGACAGGTGGTCCTTAGTTAGAGGTTTGCACCACACAACCATATGAGCCTCAGCCTGAGAAAAAGGGTGCAATTTGCCTCACGCGCACAACTGAGAAAAGGGCACTTGAAAGCAGGGTACAGACCTTCGCTCTGTAAAGTTGCCTTCACATCTGTGGCCATAACTATTAAATACTTCGAGATTTTTCGACACGGTTTTCTGCATATGAATCAGTGAGGATTTGAGTTTTAGGTATGCTATCTAACTCAATTTGACCAAAAATGCCAATAGCACCCTTTTCTCAGTCTGAGGCTCATATAATTATGAATGTGAGACCGTCCGTCCGTCCGTCCGTGCCTGGCGAAGTCGTGGTCTGTAGTACATGTACCAGGCTGGTCGCCATGTGAACACACCCACAACACTGCAATGGTGTGAGTGAATTATAATGGAAGTCATCGCGCTGTAGCTTTTTGAGATTTATTTTAGTATTTCAAGATCGCCAATTTACTTGAATTTAGCAGTCAACGCCGTCTTCTATCAGCGTTCACAAGCGTCTGCTTTTCTCAAAATGTCGTCGAAGTCACACGGATAGCTTCGCCAAGTCATGTCCAGTGGGAATATGTCCGTGTTGATGTCGTTTTCGTCACACGGTGAGTAAATTGCATCGCAGCTCAAAGAAACTATTTTGGTCACATTTACAACACTTTCGTTTCGACATGTCCTCTCTGACTCCACTATCGATACGAGGAAGAACTCGTTTGTTGTAAACCAGACGTACATGACAGTATCAACGTGAGTGAGTTGTCATTTTTCCTGCTTTCGCGCGGAATATTTCTTCGAGTTCACGGTGAGTTTTTCCAGGCAGCGCTCGAGTGCTCATACGGTAAGACGCCAAACTCTGCGGGCGATCGCCAGGATTGTAAATCTTTTTGAAACGGACTGTAGTCACGGTGGTCTTTAGTTACAGGTTTTACTGTACACACAAATCATGGGCACACAGTGCAATGCAAAGAGCACGCTGCAGCAAGCAAATCGAAAAGAATAGTTGCAGCGGCTGTCCTTTCTCCACTCAAAAAGCACCCTGAAGCTGGCTAGAGTGTACACGTTGAATGTTGCCAAAACCACACCTTCAAATGCTTTGCTAAGAGCACAGTAAAACCTGTAACTAAAGATCACCGTGACTAGCGACCAGCAGCCTGGTACTACAGACCACTTTGCCAGGCACGGACGGTCTCACACTCATATACGGTTGTGCGGTGCAAACCTCTAACTAAGGACCACCTGCCACTGAAGACCGCTTTCTCTGGCCCCAAGGGGTGGTCGTTAGTCACAGGTTTTATTGTATGTGTATGTACTAGTATACATGTACTAGTATACATGTACTAGTATACATGTATACATATACGTGTATACATGTACGTGTATGTGTATGTACGTGTATACATGTATACTGCAGTACTACTCAATGAAATCTGATCAAACGAGTGAGGCATGCTAGGAATATCAACTGCCCGTCCTCTGCTCCGTGTTCTCTGTCATATGATAGGAGAATGATGACTGCTGTACCAGAACTCCTACAGTTGCGCTTACTGAAATCCGACCCAAAGTGCAAAGCTGGCGCCCTCTACCAGTTCTGATTACATCACTGTATGCGTACATGTGTACGTCGGTCCTGCCGCATTCGTGCCACTTCCAGGGCGTCGAGGGCCGTGCAAATTGAGGGCGCTGAGTGTGCACTCTGGGTTGGATTTCACCGAGCGCAACTGTAGTAGCAGCAGCAGTGAGACAGAGAGAGAGCATCCTCATATCGTATCCTCATCTCGATTCCCGGTGTTGACCGCCGAGTTTTGTTCCTGGGATACATACACACTGCAGTTGCGTTGTACTTTCCCGGAGCAGTGCAAGAAGTAGTTGCCGTAGCCGAGATAACTAGCTCTAGACGAGTAAAGCCTCTTGTGCGGGCAAAATGAATTGCACATATCATCAAACAAATTCAAGTTCAATAAACTACTTTGAAATACAAAAATCAATAAATGCCATTAAACCAATTGGAACACAAAATAAAAAGTGAAAATCAACTGGAACACAACAAAAAAAAGAGAAGAAAAACCCCTAGGTGAATGAGCCCACACAGACAGTACCGTACTGGCAAAGACCGGCAGCTGTTTATAAAGGCCCTATTCCTACGCCGATACGATGTCCTCTAGAATAGTGTTTACTCAATGCTAGTGCTGTAAAGTACTGTTGATCTCCCCCCCCCCCCCCCTACACACACTCACTCACCGTTCCACTTTCCATCTGGGTTTTCAGCAGGGTGCGGGAATTTGATCAAGGCTGTCAAGTGCAGTGCGGTGTACAACAGTGGGGAAGATTCGACTTGGTGTGCTGCATTTGTGCATAATGTTCATCCTGTACTGGCACGTATTGTGTACAGCAGTGCATGCGTCGTATCGTACTTCATAGTACACGCCGAAGGCGCTTCACAGGCAGAAATTCGACAGGGCGCGGAAATTAGAGTGGGGGGGGGGGGGTACTTTGCAGTTTCCACTACTTCACAGCTCGTAACAACTGTTGACTTGCTGCTTGCGTCTGGCAGAGTGACTGTGATACTTCATTGGGCTTTGTATGGTGTGGTTTCAATCAGCACCAATTCTCTTGTGTTGGCCTACAGTCCATTTCATTGGAAACTGGCACCCTAACTTTTTGGTGTCTCTCTCACATAGTTGTAGATATCGTGAAAACAACAGTACATCCTGCATTGTGTGACCCGTGCAATTACTCCTAGCCACATTTGAGGCCAGAAAAGTCCAAGAACAGGGAAATAGAAATTCAGCTAGGTTTTACAAAATTAGGACAGGTATGCCATGGCAAAAGGTATGGAGAAGCAGATCCAAAACCCAGATTTTTGAGATTTAAAGTGGGTTTTTGATCCTCAGTTCGGCCCAAATCCGACTTTCAAAAGCCAGCGGGACAGTTTCCGATGAATGGACTGTAGTGTACCGCATTTCCCCGAATGTAAGTCGCACCTTTTTACACCAAACTTCAAGGCCAAACAAGAGGGTGCGACTTACAATCAAGTGTGACTGGCTCCA